CCGATCTCAGAGTACAGTAAAAGTAAAGGTATGACATGAAATAAGGTTCTGTGTATTGTATGTAGACACATAGGTACCCTAAGCCACACTTTTACAAAAAGCTTTGTCAGAAGACAAAATGTGTAAGACTATCCCATAATTTAATCTGATACTAAACTTGTGTTTCACTGGGCTAAGAACCCAGTTTCAAGATCTTGCTCAAATAATACAATCATTGAGTTCACACTGAGGTTTGCAAACTGTTCTATGGCCCAGATGAAGGGCTTATTAGGTTGGGCTTTGGGAAACCTCAGTCTCCCCAGTCTAAAAGGAGTGCTTATTTTTAGACTTCCATTCTGAACATCGTTTGTGGCTTCTCTGTTTTCTTGGCCAGAGAAATAAAAACATTTGATATTAAAATGATAAAGCTTTCTTCTATGTGACTGTTTTAACCTGCAAACAGAACGTCTTTGCATGTATAAGATTTTTGTCATGAAAAAAACCTGTGAATTTTCTCATTCCAGCTGTTGCAAAGGACAATCTCTTCTCTCCTGATGTTCTCCACCAGTGAGGATGGGGTAGGTATAATGAATGCTGATTAAAGGAAGTTAAACTACACAACTTACTGTAGAGGCAGAGTACAGGAGACATGAATCAGGTGGGAAGATAGTCATATCATAGAAGTGGAAAGGATTCCTGGAGGTTGTTGTCCAACCTCCTGTCCACATTGAGCTATTGCCAATGTGGAGGCAAGTCGGCCATGATTTTTGTTGGCAGGGTCTTGAAAACCTCCAGTTACAGAGATTCTGACTTTCCAGGCAGTTCGTTTCAGAACCGCGCTAGGAGATTGCACTTTCTCGTGTCCAGCCTGTGATTTGGGTGGGCTGGGCCCTTTCGCAGTCCCACCTTCCAGCTGCTGATGTCCTGCTGTCTCATGACTATGATCAGACTGACACCTTCCTTTGCTGAAGAGGGATGCTGCAGATGGGCTGTGTGGACATCTTTAGCTCAGCTGCGGATCTGCAGAGCTACCTGCAAACTGCACCGTGTCCAGGCACTCAGAGCTGCGACAGGCAGCGCTGGGCTTTTAGTCCATTCTCTGGCTGAAGATCCAAAGACAGCAGACACACAGTCCAAGTACTGGCAGGTGGAAGTAGTAGAGGAATTTGCAAATTGTGTGCAAGGTACTACTTTATAATGGTACGAATGAAACACACATAAGCCACGGGGATCCATGGGCTAAAGTACAGTTTATGTAATCGTGAAGTAGTTATTCCTTTAATCTGAGATATCAGAAGAACTCTGACATTTGACACAGTGACCCAGATTTATCATAGGTGAGGGAGGCACCCGGATAGGTGCCTGGCTGGCATTGGCTGCCAGATGGCCAGCAGGGAAGGAGTGGCACCTTTAGAGAGTCATTAAGTCCAGTTAGGATCCCAAGATTCTCCCCTCTCCCTTGCACGTGGAAGGGAGCAAAGGTTGGCTCATTGTCTTGTTTTATCATCCCAGTTAAGTATCTTCAGTGACATGTATTGGGGTCAGTTTGCTTTCCCTGTCTTACAAGTTTTCCAGCATTTTGCTATTACATGCTCCATGGTTTTAATGGAATTTATGGTAATATTGAAAGTGGAAAGTTACTCTGAAATCATAAATTATTTTTCTTATGTGGGAGGGTATATATTTTGTTTAAGCAAATTGATAGAAGAAATTTCCAAAATGCGTTTGCTCCTTTAATAGCAATTAAGTCTTGCTGAGTTTTACAGGATGTGCCTGGTTTGGTCACAGACTAGCAAAACATAGTTCTTTTTCAAGTTATTAGAACTCAAACAACCTCTTTTTCATGTTTCAATGTGTATAATGCCAGCATTTAGAAGTCTGGCAACTTAGATTTTTTTTCTTCCCTAGCTGAAATGCAGGGATAAAGATTAATCATAAGAAATAATACTTGAGCTGTCATTTTTTTGCCAGTGCTGCTGAAGTTTCTAAGGGTGTAGCTTTGTAATCAATTTTTTTGGCAAGGAGATTGGTTTTAGCTGTTGCTGGCCCTGGATGCTTGTTCCTTACTTTGTGGCAGCCCTTCTGTCACACCAGTAGAGCTGTTTGTGCAGCTGCACAGTGAACTGGACTGCAGAACCGGTCTGGGGTAAAAAAATCTAGGGTAAAAAAAGGAAAAAGATTGTTTATACCTTGAACCAGACAACAGGCGTGGGTGTCACATACCTGTAGAGAAGCACAGCCCAGATGAAAGCAGGGGCATGGTCAGGGGCTGGTCATAGACAAGACCCATTAGGGAAAGAAATGGATGTGAACTTGCCATCTGAGATACCCTCTGAAGCAAAGTATCAACTATCATTGTTACCAGGTCTTCTGTTAACGTGCTGTCTCCTCTTAGTGAAGCCATCCCAGCCTTGCATCCCTCTCCTCCACGCAGAATACAGTCTCTACAAATTTGCTCAGGCACAACTCGTGGGTAAAATGCTGGTCAGATCATTAAACAGGAGGGACTGTGTAGGTGCTGGTGATGGTAAAAGATGCATGAACAACACAAAGTTAAAGTGGAGGGAGCGGGTAGAGTAAAAAGGGTAACAAAGTGGTTTTTCCTTTAGTGGATCAGTTAGCCAAAGTAATCAATGTATAGTATGTATATACACATTGCCAGCACATGGGAAGTGCTGCGTGTGTCAGAAAGTGAGATAAAGGGAGCACGTGCAGGTTATGCTTCAGCAAAATTGACTTCAACATCACTGTAACTTTTTAGATTTTTAAACAGCTTGTTTTTAAACCCCGGTTGGGAAGCAGCAGTTGAGGCAGGAGTGTGATCTAATTATTGAAAATTAATGTATTCATTCTATCAGTTCTAATGTACCCTTCTGAGTCCTTTAAAAAAGTTGTCTGTTGGAAGAGGATCTTGCAGGCTGCATCTTCCCAGCTGAATGCTGTTTAGAACAGAATGTCCAGGACTGTTTGTTTTACTCACCATGCTTTTATTCCCGCAGACTTACGAGGTGCAGAGCGTGCTGGGAAAGGAGGTGGGGTTATTGAACTGCTACGTCCACTCTGTAACCAGTCACCCCAACTGTGTTGCACTGGAGGAAATTGTTCTTCTGGAAGCTGCAGCAAGACAGAAGTGAACTCTAGTCAGCTATTATAGTATCTGTGGACTTTGTAATGTGGTTATCTGTTAACTAGTGCCACAGATAATGTGTAATGCAAGTGTGATAAGCATTGAGATAGTTTATTAAAACTGTGATTTACAAAGCACATTGTGCTATCACTGAAAAAATATCCATATAAAAAAAACCTGTTTAACTTTCTGAACTCTTTCGGATCAGTTCAGAGTTTAAGAATACAGTTCTTTGGTATGTTTGCTGTTTATGTGTGTAAAACATCTCGTTCTGGAAGTTTTGAATTTTGTGATTTTTTTTTTTATACAATACTGTAAATATTATGTGTCAATGGAAAATATTTTACTGATATTTTTTGAAATAAATACTTTGCTATAGGCAGTGAATGGTGGTTTAAGCTGAGTTTTATCAGTGGATTCCAGACCAGCTGCAAAATGCCACGTGGTGCACAAATTCTGAGTTGTTATCACCTTGCAATAATTGTTATACAGACAGAGATTTGAATAAAGCTTATATTTTGAAGTGTCAAGCACATATAAAGTTAATGTTTTACAGCTAATTGGTCTTTAAGCATAGAAGTGCTGTGTTATCTGTAGCTTCCCACAGAACGGGTGTTTCATTATACAGTTTCTGTTACGGGTAAGGAGCAAACTGCTTTGAAGGCCATGTAACTATCCTCACCCAGACTGTGGAGACATGGATTACAGATCAGATAAATAGTATCAAAATCTTCCTCTGTGTGTATAATTGTAAGAATTATCGTAAGAGTTAGAGACTGGATTTTTTTCCCCTTTCACAGTATTTAAAAGCCCCTTACAGGTCAGAGGAGAAGGAATGAGTGGTTTTGCACAGGTCTCGTATGGGATTAACTAGCAGAAAAAGAACAACGAACTTGCCACACTGATCATTCCTGTGGCTCAGACTGATAGCAAACAGGCTTATGTATGCCATGATTACTAAAGGAATGACCCAGCTTTTGAAATCCCCTTTCCCCCCCCTCCTCCAAATATTTCAGTCTCTTACCTGCCTTCCTGTAAGGAAAAAGAGGACCTCAGCCCATTCCTGTGTAGAGGATACTGGTGTGTATGGGAAACCGGGGCTCCCCTTTGAAATTAGTAAGATTTCAGTCTCTGGGACAGCTGGAGGTGCTTGTTGTGTCAGGCCATTTTTCTGCCAGTGCCCTACAGAAGCTGTCATCTTTGTGCATGCACTACCGAAATTCAGACAAGTTGCCTGACCTTTCATGATATATTCACTCAGTCAGGCAGCATTGCCTGCTCTCACTTTTGCTAGCAGGGACCAGTGAAAGTGCCCAGCTCCCACAGTTCTGCAGCCTACAGCAGGATGAAGCCTGTGGGTGCAACATCATCTCTGGGACTCACTATATCTGGTTCCAAAACTCCAGAACACCTGAGTGTAGGTGCAGCTTTGCATTATCTGGAATGGAAACCCCTTAGAGGTTTTTCAGCATAAATTTTAACCAGTGGTGTTCCTGTGGTCACGTGTACTTTTTTTTCATAAAATCCTGTGTTTCTGGCAGAGTCCTGGTCACAGAGCAGCCCCTCTTACTGTGCAGCTGCTCAGTCCCAGTCAGCGCCGCGGCAATCCCTGACTCAGCATTCCGGCCCAGCGATGACGCTCCGGGGGAAGCAGACTTCGCAACCCCCACGGCCGAGGAGTCTCACGATTGTTCGCACCCCTGCATCGCTCTCTGGATGCTTTGGGACATAACGCGGCGCCCCTCGCCCCCAGCTTTCCCTCACCTCCCCGTTTCAGCTGCTGGGACCCGTCCCGCCTTGTCCCCTCACCCCGTGTTCAGCTCCCTCCCGGGAAGCGCAGCTTCCCCCGCCGCCGGCCGGCTGCTGTCACGACACAGAGCAAACGAGAGCAGGGTTGATTTAAAATGCTTTTCTTTATTCTTAGAAATGCTGTAAAAATCGATATAAAAGGTCGAGCATGCTCAGTCTTTTTTTTATCCATTCTACTGTCTAAAATACATGGGATTTTGAATCATTTTAACAGATGTACCATAGCTGCATCGGTATGAGTAAAATGTAGAAAAGACGAAAACTATCATTACAAAAATAATTTAAGGGGAGAAAAGAAAAAAATATATTTAGCTTTTTTTCCCTTTTTCGCAAGTTTCGTGGTGAAAGACCCAGGCATCGCCCCACGTCGCTGCCACATTCCGAGCGCGGCCGCGGAGCCGGCACGTCCCGCCGCGCTCCGCGCCTCCTCCGTGCGCGGCCCGGCCCGTTGGACGCCGCAGCATGGCCCGGCACGGCCCTCTTGAGGATTTAGTCCACCGTCTCCGGAGTCCGTCTCTCCGTCCCCTCCCCCCCGGTTACCGGCATCGGTTGCCCGAGCCGGCTGAGGAAGGAGGCGCTAGGCAGCTGCTTGAAGAAGTGCCGGAGGCTGGTCAAGTCCCGGGTGAGCTGCTCGATCTTCTTGTGCAGCTTCTCATTCTCGGCCGAGAGCTCCAGCAGCTTCTGCTGCATCTCCTGGTTGCGCCGCTTCGCCTTGTCGCGGCTCTTGCGCACGGCGATGTTGTTGCGCTCCCGGCGCTGCCGGTACTCGGGGCTAAACCTGTCCACGCACTTCTTGCCTCCCCGCTCCTTGCCCCCGGCGGCGGCCGGCGGCGGACGCCTGCGCCGCCTCGTGCACGCGGCGGCGGCGCGGCCGGGGCCCGGGAGCGGGTGCTGCAAGCCTGGCAGGGGAACTTGCTGGCCCGGCGCTCCGGGGAGAGTGGGTGGCGTGGGCTGCCCGCTCAGGTTCATGATGGTATTCTGGGCGCAGTGGCGATTTCATGGAGGGCAGCAACCAGCGAAGAGGAGAGGTCGCTGAATCCTCCAGGCCGCTCCTGCTTCAGAGCGCCGCGCGGGAGGAGGAGGAGGAAGAAAGGAGGAGGAGGAGAGGAGCAGGTGCGGCTCGCCGCCCGAAGCAGGGGTGTCATGGCAGCGCCGAGTCCTGCGGGTCGCGGCCGGCGCCGCCGCCCGGCGGCAAATACTCGCCGTAGTCCCCGCCCCGCTCGGGCTTGTGGTTGCTGTTGAAGAGGTCGGCGAAGAGCTCGTCGTTGCAGAGCTCCAGGTTGGGCACGGCCGACATAGAGTCAATGTAAGAGCTGAAGTCGATGGCGCTCTCGTCCTCGTACATGGCCGGGGGCCGCGCTCAGCTCCGCCCCAGCGTTGGTGCCGCTGCCCCCAGGCCGCCCCCCGCTGGCCTCGGCCGCCTCATCCCGCAGCCGCCACGGGGCCCCCGGCTTGCAGGCGGGACCCGGCCCGCCGCCGCTGCCCACCTTGCGTCGTAGAAGTTGCGGGCTCCAGGCACCAGCTCTTATAACATTGCCGGGGAGTTTTCAGGCTGTAGAGAGCGCGCGCTTCATCGGCGAGCGGGACGCGGCGCCGCACGGCCGCCGCCGGGCGAAACTCCGGACCGCGGGGCACCAAACGCCGCTCCGCGACTGTCGCCAAGCTCCAGCCTCTGCCACGGCAGTGGGAGCGGGGCTGCTGCTGCTGCTGCGCCGCTGCTGGTACCCTGTCCTGCTGTTCCTCGGTGCCACTGGTGCTCCCGCTGCAGCCCCGCCGTCGCCTCCCCGAGGGGCCGATCCGGGCTCGAGTCACGCCGTGAGCAGCGGTAGGAGGCGGGGATGGGACAAGGCGTCTCAGGACCTGGGAGCGAAACGCCCGCTCGGTCCCTTCTTATACGGCGCGGGCCCCGCCTCCTGCCCCTGACGGGGAACGAGTTATTCGCCGCGACCCCCGGGGACCCGGGGGCGGGAGCGGTTGGGTGCGCGGCCGCGGAGGCAGGGCTTCCCCCGCGGAGGCTGCCACCTCCCGGCGAGGGTGGCCGCCGTCGGGGACGGCCCCCGCCACGGGGACGGGACGGTGCGGACAGCCTCTCGGGCTCCTTTGCCGCCCTCCCTGCACCGTCCCGTCCCCGGGGAGTGCTGCCGGTACCGGACCCCCGTTGCCACGGCTGAGCGTTAGTTTTCCCTTTTCCACCCGGGCCAGCGGGAAAGCTGGCTGGAAAGGCTCTTTTTACCCCTCTACCACCACGACGCTTCATCCCCCCACGCAGTTCCCCAGCGGCGCCTTGGATGAAGCGATACGGGAAAGATGCTGCCTGCCCCACGCGTGTCTCTGTGTATCACCCGAGCGCCCTCCCGAGGCTCCGCTACCCCCTCTGTAGCACGGGAAGCTTCACCCGAGAAGGATGTAAATCCACCCCCTTCGGTGAGAGGGTGGCCGCTTGGACTTCTTGCAGGACGCTCTGGTGGGAAAGGGATGTCTGAGGCATCTTTAGCTACTTCATGCTGTCTGCGTGAAGTTATACCTCTTTTTAAAAACTTGCATTAAGTAATTACACATGTCGTCCTCTCCTCCTTGCATCCCATAAACTATTACTATTAAATTGGCAAGCATCAGAGAAATGGAAATACTTTAATTTAAAAGATGTAAAATGCACAAATTTTCTAGTTCCTAACAGTTTCTAGAAGCCTGGCTTCACCCCCAAATGCTCCACTGACTGAGTTATAAAAGAAACACGTAATAAAACACCCTTAAAAAATAATTTTTAAAATATTTATTTATTTTCCCAGAAGACCCCTCTAGATTTATGATAGGACTATCCCAGGCGCTCATCTGATGCTGCTGGCATAAAGCTGTGCCCTGCAGAGTACGGTGCCACTCATCCCAAGGTGGCTTTCTGGGGATCGTGGGTACGTGCCGGTCATGCCGGGCCTGCTGCCTCTCTCCGGGCAGAGCTCCATCTGCCGCTACCGCAGCTGTTGCAGTACCGCAGCTGTTTATCACAGGGGTGTGTATTTTAGCATAAGTAGTTGGGAACAGGACGGGTACATGCTCTCCCCTCGGATGTAAACTCCTCGTGGGAAGGCTTGTGGGATCAGGGTAAGTGTGCTGTGTCTAGCAGGTGAGCTTTTGCATCTGGCAGGTAAGATTTCACTTTGAGAGGCCTTCCTTTTAACTCTAGTGCTGCCATTTACTCCACAGAGATGTTAAGTTTAAATAAACTTGATTTCCTTTCTCACCAGAGTATTGATCACACAGGCGTTAACCACTGAACTTGACAGCGACGCAAAAAGTGGTCGGTGTTTTTTTTCATATTGTCAAAAAATAATATGCCCCAAACCCATTTACATATTATTTTCTGCCCTCTAGTGCTGGGGTCTATTCGTGTTGCAATGACTCTGCAGAACCTGCCCCTGGCCTGGCCTGGCCTGGCTGTCCAGCAGGGAACTAGGACCATCATGTGATGCTCCTGAACCCTTTTTCTCTGCATGAACTATAAAGGGTTGAGTGCATGAGGCTTAGGAAGGTAGTTCAGAAGTGTGAGGCAGTCTGATATCTGCTGTCTCTCCTCTTGCTCTGTGTCAGGGTCCATTGATTGCTGGAAAGGGATACATGTCACTCACTTTAGTCTTGAAATTATGATTTGCCTTGGAAAGCGCCTAATTTAACTGTTTGCACGTGTGGAATGGTTATGCTTTCAGCTCACTGAAGTCCTTACCCCAAAGGGCAGCTGGTTATCAGCCAGTGTTGGCATGCCACTGTGCCAGCCTGAACAGTCTCATTTAATAGCCATCATGTGTTACTCCAAAAAACAGATGCAATTCCCAGCCAGGTCACCCGGTCTCTGCTGGGCATCTTTGCCACATGGCAATTAGATTCTCAAAATCCCTCAGTAAAATGCAACATCTGGGTGTGGAACCCCTCTGTAAACCTCAATATAAGCCACCTGTATCACACCTAAGCCCCACCATGGAGGGTACAGCTTTGCCTATGGGGGACTCGGAATTGTGTTCAGAGCTTGTGGTCAGACCCGTCAGTGCTTGTCCCCCAAAACCAAGTGCAACAGCCATTCCCTGGAAGATAAGTTGGTTGTGTTTGTTGCTGAGTCTGAGATATGTGATTTCAGGAGCACCCCTTGTGCCATGCAGGGTGCGATGTCCTGGGTGGGGTGCTACACCTGCAGTGAAGAATCCAGGAGCATGTGAGCAAGTGATACTTGTCATTTACCAAAGCACTAGGCTGAAGAAAGGATGATATCCATGTTCTACTCTTTCCTGGGGTAGATTTGTCTGCCATTTCAGCAGCTGAATCTGTTCCCATCTGCATAAGTAATTTCATGAGCAGTGAAGTACAGACAAGATCTTGATTCCCTCATCCGTCCTGCTGAGTACCTGACCCCCTGAATCATGGCTTGTCTCTGGGATCCAGAAATTCTAAACAGCAGTAAGAAGCATTTGAGCATCTGAATTTCAGAGTAAATTTTTTAAAACTTGCTTGGGGTTCTTGCTCCAAATCAAGCAAAGCATTTAAACCTGGTGAGAGAGGACAAGAAAACTTTCTCTAAGAAGCAGAGAAAAGACGAAGCTTTAATTTGGTCTGGAGTGCTGGCTGTAAATCTCAGAGAAGCACCAGGACCCTGAGCCCTTCAGGGACAGCAATTAAATCACACTGTATTTCTGACTAGTTTTTCCTCATAAATAGGGGACAGGCCACTAATGGAAGGTAAGTAAACAGTGCAATGCCTCAGCCTAGCTTTAATCCTCCCTGAACTCCTCCCACCATGATCACCTCTGGCAACCCAGCCAGATGTGCAGGACTTTTTGGGACAATGGGGCTAGAAGCATGGCACAATAAGGCTGGTCCTGGGGAGCCTACAGAGCCCTTCTCTGCTTTTGAGGTTATGAGGATGAGGCAGCACCAGCAGGACACCAGCTCCTGGGGGATTCATGGGCAAAGAGTCAAGCTGTGTTTCTCTCCCCCCTCTAAGAAGCAGCAGGAGTGCAAGGATCATTTCATGCATCAGCTAGAAGCCAGGAATGGTACTTGGGGGCTGACCAGGGAATGGGACATGCAAATGAGGAGGTGCAAGTTGTTTGGGGAGAGTCAAAAAACCTGTGAGCACGCTCCTAGGTAGGGGCAGTACCTACTTGAGGTTGGTGTTGGCTCTCCTCAGCCAGTGCAGTAACTGCTGGGCAGATCCTCCCTGTCTGCTCATCCCACTTCTGCTGGGGCTTGTGCCTCTCCCTTGTCCTGAATCACTGTAGCAGTATTTTGCTTGTCACTTGTACTGTACTTGTACATCATTGCACAGATCCAGCCTGCGGCCACACTACTCTTAGCAGCTGAACAATTTGATGATAAATGAAAGGAATTTTCTTTTTAGCTCTTTTAACTGGAGCTCTGTGTTTCAACTCCCTGCGGGTGTTTAAACTCTGGTGGTATCAACCTGGGCTGGGTTTGTTCAGCTGCACCTGTGGCTGCTGAGCTGCTGAATTACACTGTCCATATACCTGGGCTCCCAAAAGGTCAAGTGCCAATGCAGCTAAATGCCTCAGACCCTGTGCTCCTTGTTTTCTCACACTCTTTGGTGGATGCTCTGAACCTTTTCCTGATACAGGTTTTGCATGAATTTCGATCAGAGACAAAATTCATGTGATCAGATTCACAGCTGCATTTTCTGCCTAATCAAATTAAATCTTGTGTGCTATAATTTACTGTGAGTGAAATGGACAAGTAGGCTCAATGTAGCCCTCTCCTGTCCCATCAAAAAAGCAAAAAACCCCATCCTGCAAATATGTGGAAACTGTAACCAAATCTCTCCCAGCCCTTATAGCCACTCCTTCATAGAATCAGAATGGTTTGGGTTGGAAGGGACTTTAAAGATCATCTAGTTCCAAGACCCTGCCATGGACACCTTTCACTAGACCAGGTTGCTCAGAGCTCCATCCAACCTGGCCTTGAACACTTCCAGGGATGGGGCACCCACAACTTCTCTGGGAAACCTGTTCCAATGTTTCACCTCCTCATTTTTAATCTAAACCTACCCACTCTCAGTTTGAATCCATCCCTCCTTGTGCTGTCACTACAGGTCCTGCTGAAAAGTGCCTCTCCACCTTTCCTATAAGATCCCTTTAGGCACTGAAAGGCCACAATAGGGTCTCCCTGGAGCCCACTCTTCCTCAGGCTAAACAATCCCAGCTCTCTCAGCCTGACTTCACAGAAAAGGTGCTCTGGCCCTCTGATCATCTTTGTGGCCCTAAAAACTTCCCAAACATTTTTGCAACAAAAAAACCCTCTAAACACTGTATTCCGGACACTTGTTAGTGTGACGTAAGGAGTAGCTCTTTGGAAGCTTTGCTACAAGACCATTGACACCATTCACTGCTGTGGGTGGCTGCCAAGGTGCAACCTTTCTGCATAGGTGCCATTTCTTAAAGGCAGCATAGCTTAAAAATTAAATTTTTGAAGCCCATGTAATTTCCAAATGAGGCAGAGTGTTTATAAAATGATGCAGCAGACCCTCATCCTCTGCACTTGTGAGGGGAAAAAAGGGTTTTAAAGCAGCGGTAATAAATCCTTACTTTAATTCCTTGATTTTGCAAAAACAAGAAGTTTGGGGAGAAGTGACTCTATATATAGATAGAGACATATATAGATGTTTACTTTGGGAAGCAGCTGGCCAAACCCTTAAGTGTGAGGCCAGAAGAGCCGTAGGAAATTCCTTACTCCATAGCTGAATACAAGCCCAATTCATTGTTTTTGTGGAAAGCTCATAGGCTCCTTCCCATGCCCAAAGATGTGGTGGCACTGTATCACATCTCAGTCACTGACACCTCAAGACAACATTTAAACTGGGCAACAGTGGCGGGGACTAAGGGAAAATCCTGAACATGAGAAGCAGCATGCAGGAACCTCTTTATCAGCTGGGAAAAGAGACTCCAGGCTGCAGCTGCAGAGCTTTCCTCTGGGTTCAGCAGTACTGTTATTCTTAGCTAGAGGGAAATTTTAAGATTGGCAGGCATGGTAAGGATTAGCTTAAATATGAATATCATTCTATGCCCTTAGAAAAATGTAGTGAGAATATATGCTAATGTTTTATATAACTTTTTAGGTGCAACTAATGGATTTCCAGATATAGTGCCCATCCATCTGGTTATTTAATCTGAGAAGGAAATATTCTCCTCTACTTGTGAATAGTTCCCAAGTTTTGTTTTGCATGAGACCTGATGCAGTCTCTGACTCTGAGCTTGACATCAT